TTTTCTTCTTTTATACCCTTTCTTGCCAGCCACGCTGTGGAGTACTTGGACGCGTGTGATGGAGCATTGTCCTGCATGAAAATCATGTTTTTCTTGAAGGTTGCAGACTTCTTCCTGTACCACTGCTTGAAGAAGGTGTCTTCCAGGAACTAGCAGTAGGACTGGGAGTTGAGCTTGACTCCATCCTCAACCCGAAAAGGCCCCACAAGCTCATCTTTGATGATACCAGCCCAAACCAGTACTCCACCTCCACCTTGCTGGCGTCTGAATTGGACTGGAGCTCTCTGCCCTTTACCAATCCAGCCACGGGCCCATCCATCTGGCCCATCAAGACTCATTCTCATTTCATCAGTCCATAAAACCTTAGAAAAATCAGTCTTGACGTTTCAGCTTGTGTGTCTTGTTCAGTGGTGGTCGTCTTTCAGCCTTCTTTCTTACCTTAGCCATGTCTCACAGTGTGCACACCTTGTGCTTTTTGGGCACTCGAGGTGATGTTGCAGCTCTGAAATATGGCCAGAAGCTGGTGTGAAGTGGCCAGAGCAGCTGCTGCGCTTGACTTTTCTCAGTTCATGGAGCAGTTATTTTTGCTTTGGTTTTCCCTGCAGCTTCTTAGACCCTGTTGACTATTTTGAATGAAACGCTTGATTGTTCGATGATCACGCTTCAGAAGCTTTGCAATTTTAAGAGTGCTGCATCCCTCTGCAAGATATCTCACTATTTTTGACTTTTCTGAGCCTGTCAGGTCCTTCTTTTGACCCATTTTGCCAAAGGAAAGGAAGTTGCCTAATAATTATGCACACCTGATATAGGGTGTTGATGTCATTAGACCACACCCCTTCTCATTACAGAGATGCACATCGCCTAATATGCTTAATTGGTAGTAGGCTTTCGAGCCTATACAGCTTGGAGTAAGACAACATGCATAAAGAGGATGATGTGGTCAAAATACTCATTTGCCTAATAATTCTGCACTCCCTGTATAGGGTAGTATAGTGATTATAGCAATCCCCAGAGTGTAGTTCTCCAATCCCCCAAACATGAGCCAAGACTTCATGAAGGTGCAAGATGATCTGATCTTTAATGGTTCAGGTTGGCTTTTATACAATTCTCCAGGCCAGATGGGGCACAGGAACACAAAGGACACAAACCAATCAGAACAAACATACAGTATGTTACACGCCCATGTACAGCACACAATCCCTCCCTTTTGCTTGGGAGATAATTGAGTAAAGTCCTAGAAGTAACTCAATTATCTCCAGGCAGAAAAACCACATTTTCACAAAGTTCAGAAAGTACTCCAAAACATAACATACCCCCGGATAGCCCTGATCTGGGTGAGCAAAAATCACCCAGATCAGGTAATTGGTAATTGGTGCCCCGCAGCCAGCATTACAGCTAAGTAATTGAGGGGTCCCAGTTCCAGGATTAAGGGTATGAGAAGGGCAGAGGCCAACTACGCCCTGCCCTGTTGCCAGTGCTTCTGCTGGGGTGGCCTGTGGGTATTCAGGCCTTGGACAAAGGTAAATGGGAGGACAAAGGCCAACTGCACTCTACCCTGGTGCCAGCACTTCTGCAAGCCACACTGCCACTGGGGAGGGAGACCGGTTGTCTCCTCTCCCTAAAACTCACCCTGCGGCTGGGGAGTGAGACCAGTTGTCTCCCCTCCCTGCAGTATACACTGTCACTGGGGAGAGAGACCGGTTGTCTCCTCTCCCTGAAA